GTGTGTGTGTGTGTGTGTGTGTGTGTGTGTGTGTGTGTGTGTGTGTGTGTGTGTGTGTGTGTGTGTGTGTAAAAGACAGATAGAGCAAAAGTAAAAAAAACTGGGCCATGCAGCCTCTTGACACACAATCTCATTCACTGGCCACAGATTACTGTCACCTCTCGTTAGCCTCTGTGTGTGTGTGTGTGTGTGTGTGTGTGTGTGTGTGTGTGTGTGTGTGTGTGTGTGTGTGCAGGCAGATGATTTGTGGACAAATTAAACGACTCGCTGTGTTTATTTGTTGTGATTGCTGACACTGACAGTCGTAATATGTGCAGGAAATGGCTAAAATGAGAGGGACAGACTTAGGTGCCCAGGCCTGCTTTTCATTCTGGTTACTTCAGGTCAAAATGGCCAGATGGCTGCTGCCTGCCATGACATGGCTGTCTAGATATAATTCAGACTGTTTGGTTGAAGCTTTGGATGACCCTTCTCATCTTAAAAGACTACAACCACGGTTATTAAGGACATTTTTCAAACAGTAATATGAAGGCTAAAATAGTATTTGTTCATTGTTTTTGACAAAGGAAATAAAGGTTGATGCAATGTTTGGCAATATCGCCTCAGAGCAGGAAGGCTCTGGGTTTGAGGCTGCTGGCCATCAGGGGCATTTCTGTGTACAGTCTGCATATGCAGGCTGGTTTCTCTCCTGTATGCCTCCTTCCTCTCATAGCCCAGAGACATGCGTGCTAGGTGAACTGGTGATTCTACATTAGAGTAGATGTGAGGGATTGTCTGTCTGTCTGTGTTAGCGCTGTGAGTGATTGGTTACTTGTTCAGGGTGCTCTCCAGCCCCCCTCTGACCCTGAAAACAGATAGATTGTTGCAGGTATTTCAAATGTAATTTCATGTCATGGAAGCTACCTGTACTTCATTGACTGTAAACAAAGTGTGTTATCTTCTAATCATTTTACACACCTGGAACTTTTTATACAGTAACTACACTGTGCATAAATCTTATGATTAGAGTACTTGTGGATAAGAAGTGAAGATTGATTCATTGAAATTTTAGAGAAAATACAAAGAGCTACGTGTGAGAGGACTGATGTTATATTGTGTAGAGCTCTGAGGTTGCTGATATTCAAGTTCAGAGGTGAAATATATACTTTATTTATGCTCAAACGTCACAGTAGCCAAAATCATGAAAAGGAAAATAAAATCCCAATAAAAACAAATACAACATCACAAAACAAATGTTTAAAATTGCACAAAAGCAGCTCAATAAAATATAAAATGGAAAGAAAGGAAGAGGTCAATAAATCAAAAGTGAAATATGATATAATATAAGCAGCTGTCCTTGTGGCAGCAGAGCTGAGATGTCAGACAAAATGCTCCACGCTGAGATGTTCAGGGTCACCCATTTGTTATCTAAAGCCATTAACCGGAGCCACAGTCATTTGTTGATGGAGGAATCCAAACAGCCTGTTTTGTATGTAAATGCTTGCTTTGTAAGTGCCTATAAATTTCACATAAATGCAGCAGAGCACAAAGCACAATGTTTGTTTGAATTGCGGCACTTCCGGGCCTCTTTAAATTGTGTCAAATGAAAATGTCAATGAGCACCAAAAGAGGATGAAAATAGTTGTAGAAAGGTGCTCTACCTGCATATTTGTGTTGGCGTGCATTTGAAAAAATATTAGGCAACTGATTTCTTTCTCAGGGTTAGTGGGAAAGATTGTGTTGACATCAGAGGTAGCAAGCATGTTTCTCATGCAGGTCCAGACCTGCCTTAAATATTTTAAACCAGTTTGCCTGACATTTTGAGCGTTAGAACGACATGCTGAATGATTGAGTTTGTCCTTTGCATTCTCACCACTTCTAATCTACCACATGTTAACTTTGAGTATTCAAGTTTGTCTTTATCACATATAAACTGAATGGCTAAAATTTTTTTCTAGTTTTCATTCAAACAATTGTGCAAAGGAAATCTAGACTAAGTTGAATGATTTAGATTAATATGTTTTGTGTAAAAGACATCACTTTTTACAAAAAAAATAAAAATAAAATATTAGCATTAGAGGCTTTAAAATAAAATACTACAAGGAAGGAGTTTATGTATTTAGGAACTATATGATTTAACACATGTTATGGTAATTGTGATGAAAATATTTAATTTTTCTACCCTGAAGACTGTTAAGCAATATACTCTAAAACACTTCTTCAGTAAAGACTCAGAGAAGAGAAACACACAGAACGTCTTGCTAGCACGGGCAGCCTCCAGCACTGAGGCTCGCGCTGAGAAACTGCCCCGGTCTTTATTTATACTTCAGTGAGCGTTTGTTCCTTACATTGGAATGTGGAGGTGTGTGTGTGTGTGTGTGTGTGTGTGGTCAGAGTGTGGCCCCATAAACGACTTCCCTTAACCTGCTGGTCTGGAAAATCCAACAGTTCATCTATATGTAAAGAAGCACTTAAACTAAAACTGACATAGCTACGTTAATCCTACCGTAAAACAATAAGACAAGGTACGACCTCTCTCATGCTCCTAGGGTGTGGGTGTGAACACCCTAGAATGTTACAGACCTCCTAGGATAGAATAGAATAGAATTAGAATAGAATTCAACTTTATTGTCATTGCACATGCACAGGTACAGGGCAACGAAATGCAGTTTGCATCCATCCAGAAGTGCTTTAGTGATATAGATATATTACAATATATATTAGCAATAATATAGATATGTGAGTATATTACAGAAATGGGTCTATTATGGTATGTTATAATGTACACGGTATGAAGTATGTTGTGAATATTCTATAACTAAATAGGATGAGACATTCTTTCAATATGCCACCAACTATATACTTCTACACACAAATGATTACATGCAGCATTCTACCATATGCAAACTTATATCATTAAAAGATTATACTGACTACTAAGTACAATTTTCCTGTTAACAAAGACCAAAAAGAAATAAAAACAAACAAACAAACAAACAAACAAAGGGTTGTCAAAATAACAAACTAGCAGCATCAGCGCAGAGAGACACAATCCTGCTGTTTCATCTGTGTTTGTGTGTGTGTGTGCGTGTGTGTGTGTGTGCGTGTGTGTGTGCGTGTGTGTGTAATGCATTCCAGTCTTAGTCACATGCAGGTCTGTGTATCTGTGGCAACAAAGGCTCTCATTGATTGAGAAGAAATAACTCATTCATTGTAATTCTCTCTCAATGTTTGTGAGTCTGTTTTTGTGTGTCCCGTACGGTACGTACACACTAGTCCTCACAAACGTCTGTCAGCATACCGCATACTGTCTAAACTAAAACAATGACAATATAAACTGATACTACATGAAACCATCATGTATGGTGCAGGGTAATCAAACTTGTTCTGTGTCTTTCCTCCCATAGTGTGTCGGGGAGGAGAACTGGGTCGATAGCCGGACAATTTACATTGGACATAAGGAGCCTCCTCCAGGAACTGAAGCTTTTATACAGCAAAGATTTCCTGACAACAGAATAGTCTCTTCAAAGGTCAGTGAAACACCCACCCACACAGATGCACACATATTCAAAGCAGGACTTGCTTCATCAGGATCTGCCTGCAATATCATGAGAGTTTAGAGGTGAAGAACGTGCAAACAGGTTTTATTCTTTCAGCTTTAAAATCAATTATGATTTGAGCGCAGCATCAGTGTCTAAACAAAAGGACACAGCAGAACAGAGCTGTTAGTACTCCAGCACTATTCATGCTTTGTTTTTAAAGCGTGGGCGACTTCTACTTGGTAATGGGACAAAGACCAGTGAATGAGCTGTTTTGGGAAAGAACACTCTGTGCTGTGTTTTAATTTCAGTGATCAGTTTAGACCCACTCCAACTTTTTGAAAGTTTCATATCTGTGGTTCGTAAAATATATATTGTATATTTGTACTGGAATGCTTGATTATACCATCCCCCCCCCGCTGTTAAAGCAAACAGCATCAGGGACTGGTAGAACCAGCTGGTATTTATGCTGGTTCCAACTGCTAAGCTGGTCTTGGAGTGGACTTTCTGTTGATTAATTCTGTCCCTCCAGTCTAAATGTCAGCTTGTTATAAACTGAGGCTATGCTGCATGAACATTAATTTTAGTTTTACAAGCTGTAAATGAAAGAAGCCTAGATTTCTGACCTGGATGTAATATTTACATCCAGTCGTAGTATGAAGAAAGATTTTGCTGATATGGTCCAACTGGCATAACTATCTATAACTAAGTCTCACTTACTACAGCACGTTAACCAGGCCTCTCTCAACTGTTCATCACAGGTCCTTTGAGTGTTTGAGGTTTGAGTTTGTACCAATAAACATTATTTTACATGTTGCCAAGAAAAGCTTCCTCCTGCTGCCTGATTAAAAAAAAAAAACAATAAAAGGAAAAAAGGAAAAAACATTTAGTAAACTCTACATTTGTCTGTTTTATAGCATATGTGTTCATGTGCAAAATTATGATTTCCTACCTATTACACGCAAAAACTACTGCAATTATTACTTTTAGGCTGGACTACTCTAATTCGTTATTATCAGGATGTCCTAAAAACTCCCTGGAAAGTGTTCAGTTAATCCAAACAGCAAGTGTACTGACAGGGACTAGAAAGAGAGAGCATATTTCTCCTATACTGGCCTATCTTCACTGGCTTCCTGTTAAATCCAGAGTTAAAATTCAAATCCTGCTCCTCAAATACAAGATCTCACATCTTGAATAATCTGACCCCATCTTATCTTAATGACCTTATAGTACCATATCACCCCATTAGAGCACTTTGCTCTCACACTGCAGGCTTACTTGTTGTTCCTAGAGTATTTAAAAGTAAAATGGGAGGGAGAGCCTTCAGTTTTCAGGCCCCTCTTCTATGGAACCAGCTTCCAGTTTGGATTCGGGAGACAGACACTATCTCTACTTTTAAGATTAG